ATTGTTATAGTTATAATATTAAATAAAATTATAAATTTATAATTATGATATATTATTAAATAAAGGTTAAACCCCCTTTTTGGTCCCTCAACTATTGTACGGACCCCCGATTAAGTCCCTCAACTCAAAAAATCCCTGACTTGGTCCCTATTGTTTACCATTTTTACCCCAATTTAGTCCTTCCGTTAAAAATCCCTCCACATGTATTGTTAATTCACGGTAAGATGATGATATGTCAAAATGTTAATCTACGTGGAAGACAACATGGCAAAAGCTAGTGACATGGCAATAAAAATTTTAAAAATTCTTTCTCCTTCCTCTTCATTTCCTGAACCCAGAGCCTGGGATCGTCGAACCCGTCACCATGGGTTCCTTCAAAACCAACTCGGCGTTCCTCATTCCCTTTCTCCTTCCTCTTCATTTCCTTCTTCATCAATCAATTCATCATCATCAAACAAAACTCACAAAACCACAATTTATTTATTTATTTTTTTGTTGAAGAACCCAGTGCCCTGGGTTCAATCAAACCCGGTGCTGGGTTCGCTCTTCCTTTCCTTCTTCATCAATCAATTCATCATCGTCATCATCAAACAACACCCACAAAAACACAGAAATTTTTTATTTATTTTTTTGTTGAAGAACCTAGTGCCATCGAACCCAGCACCGGGTTTGAAGGAACCCAAAGCTTGGGATCGTCGAACCCAGGCAATGGGTTCCTTCGAACCTAGCTGGGTTCGTCCTACCCAACGCATGGGTTCGTCGAACCAGGCGATCTGGGTTCGTCGCCTGGGCTTGGGTTCGACGAACCCAGGCGAACCCAGATCGTCGCCTGGGTTCATCGCCTGGGCTTGGGTTCGTCGAACCCAGGTCCAAACGACGAATCCAGGCAACGATCTGGGTTCACCTGGGTTCGTCGAACCTAAGCCCAAGCAACAAACCCAGGCGATCTGGGTGCCTGGGTTCGACGAACCCAGCTGGGTTCCTTGGAACCTAGAGCTTGGGTTCGTCGAATCCAGCGCTAGGTTCCTTGAACCCAGAGCCTGGGTTCCGAGGAACCCAGCGCCGACTGCTGGGTTTCTGAGGGGGGAAGGGTAAAGAGAAAGGGGAAGAGAAGGGGAAAGAGAAGAAAAAAGAAAAAAAAAAA